AACAAGAACAACCCCAAGTTCTTGGCTATCACCACCGACTGCCTTCAGCTCCTTGCCTATGGAAACCAGGAGAGCAAGGTGGGCCCAGTGCTGTCTGCAGTGCTGCCACCTCCAACCTCTCACAGGTGCAGCGTCCCCAAAGCACAGACTGTCCCAGTCTGGCCGGTAGTTCAGCTTGGCTGGGTTTCTCCTCCTGCTGCTCTGGGCAATGCCACTGTCTTTGTTCTTTGGCTGCTCCTCTCCTCCTACGCACTGGTTGTCCCAGCCTCACTCAGGTTCATCTCCTGGACCTGCTTGGATGTTGGCTGGGCAGGGGGCTGCCACCTGTCCTGCATGGGGTGAGAGTCCCCAGTGCACAGGGCTGGGGTGGCCAGAGGGATGGATGGGGTGACTGAAGCCCTCTTGTGTGCTGAGGGGTTGGACTTCCTGCTGGACCTGTATCCTGGCACGAGCTGGAGAAACCAGTAGTGGTCCCGGCAGCCCAGAGCTGCCACACATCCTGACCCTGGCCCTTCTGTCTTGCAGCTGATTATTTTGGCCAATGGAGGCCCCCAGGCCCTGGTGCAGATCATGCGCAGCTACAACTATGAGAAGCTGCTCTGGACCACCAGCCGGGTGCTCAAGGTGCTGTCAGTGTGTCCCAGCAACAAACCTGCTATCGTCGAGGCTGGTAAGAGGGCTGGGGGCTGTGGCAGAGCTGGGTCAAACTGGAGGGTGGTGGGGTCAGGATGATGCAGCCAAGGGTGTCATTGCACGGCCGGTGTGTGAGCCAGGCCCAGCAGGTGGAACTCCCTGCCTGTGGCTCCCCCCCCCCCCCCCCCGGCCAGCCTTGGGTCAAACGGGTGGTGGGGTCAGGATGATGCAGCCAAGGGTGTAATTGCACGGCCGGTGTGTGAGCCAGGCCCAGCAGGTGGAACTCCCTGCCTGTGGCTCGTTCCCTGCTCTGCAGGGCTGCTGAGGTGCTTTCCTGGCACTGTGCATGGCCAGGATCTGGCCTGGCTGGCTGGGAGCTGTCTTCCTGTGCCACATTAACTCCCCTAAGCCATGAGGTGCTGGAGACACCACTTGGGTGCTGCTGAGCCCACGCAGACCTGCTATTGCTCCCCTCTCCTCTCTGCTGGGGCAGCTTTGGGTGTCCAGGTGTTTATCTGAGCTGGTGTCATCTTCCTCTGCAGGTGGCATGCAGGCCTTGGGCAAGCACCTGACCAGCTCCAGCCCCAGGCTGGTCCAGAACTGTCTCTGGACCCTGCGAAACCTCTCTGACGTGGCTACCAAACAGGTGGGTCTGTGGGACCCCAAGTCCTGCTTCAGTGCAGCATTTTGGAGCGTGCTCTGTGCCAGCTCCCAGGCTGCCCCTCACCCTCTGTTTGGGCCAGACTGAATCCAAAGCACTGCCCTTGTGCCCTTTCCAGTCCCTGTGGGATGTGGCAGCACGTGTGCCTGGCATTGCAGGGGGCCTCTTCCTGCCCTTCCCATGCCAGGCAGCTGCCAGTGATCCTGCCGTGTCCCCAGTGGGCACTGAGGCCATCGTTGGTCACTCAGCACTCAGGGACCCCCAGATCCTGCCCTGGTGCTGGCTGCGTGTTTGGCAGCTTCCCCAGCACGGAGCTGCTGTTGGAGCTGCCATCAGAGCTGCCATCAGAGCTGCCATCGAGATGGTGGTGCCCGTGGGGCTGGTGGCAGCCGGAGCAAGGCTGACTCGGGGTTGCTCCCCAAGCCCTTTGCTACCTTCTGATGCCTTCCCCATCTGCCGGGACCGCCTCTCCCTGCAGATTAGCGCCTGATGCAGCCTGGAAACTATTTGGGCTGGCGTGGAACCCTGCCTGGCTCTGCGGATTGAGGGGGGGACGTGGCCATGGTGCCTTTAACTCCTTCCTGCCCTGCTGCTGGCTGCCGGCACAGCTGGGCCCAGGGTCACCCTGGGACCACTCAGGGAGCACTGGCCAGTGCATTGTTTGTACTTCCCAGCAGAGAAAAGCTGCTGGAGACTTTAAACTCTTAAGTAAAGCTGCACATGTTGGGAGAGCCTGTTGCTCACACTGTGCCAGCATCATGGACAAGCAGCCCTGGCTGGAGGGGACAGTGTGGGAGGCTGAGGGCTGCAGCCCAGCTGCAGGCTGAGCCCAGATCTGGCTGCAGGGAAGATGGTCCAACCTCCTGTCCTCTCTCTTGCAGGAGGGCCTGGATGGTGTCCTCAAGATATTGGTGAACCAGCTGAGCTCTGATGACGTGAATGTGCTGACCTGTGCCACCGGCACCCTCTCCAACCTGACCTGCAACAACAGCAAGAACAAGACCCTGGTGACACAGTCGAATGGGGTGGAAGCCCTGATCCACACCATCCTGCGGGCGGGTGACAAGGAGGACATCACCGAGCCAGCTGTCTGCGCTCTCCGGCACCTCACCAGCCGGCACCCCGAGGCTGAGATGGCACAGAACTCAGTGCGGCTCAACTACGGCATCCCTGCCATTGTCAAGCTCCTCAACCAGCCCAACCAGTGGCCACTGGTCAAGGTAAGGGGCTGGGGGGATGCTGGGGGCTAAAGGAAGCTGGTGGCTGGGCTCAAATGAGCTGGGTGCTGGCCCATGGTGGGACACGCTGATGCCATGCATGGAGCGATGGTGGGCTGCTGTTGCTGCAGCACTGCTCCCCCTGGGCCCTGTCCTTGATGGTGGCTAATGGAGGAAATGGCTCGTGCCAGCTGCTCGATGGAATCGATACTTGCCCCAGCCTCCCCGCAGGGGAGGGGGCTGGATCTGGTGTGGGAGGAAGCTGGAGGGGGACAGGCAGGGGGAAGGGGCCCAGCTGGTTGCTCCCATGGGAGCACATGCTGCTCCAGTTCATGGTCAAGACAAATCTCTCCTTCCCCTTCTCCTCTCCAGGCTACCATAGGCCTGATCCGCAACCTGGCCCTGTGCCCGGCCAACCATGCCCCGCTGCAGGAAGCTGCCGTCATCCCCCGCCTGGTGCAGCTGCTGGTCAAGGCTCACCAGGACGCCCAGCGGCACGTAGCAGCTGGCACACAGCAGCCCTACACGGTGAGTCCCGGCAACAGGGACTGCCAGGGCTGCCCCTCTGCCCTGCTCCTGGCACAGCCTGGCACCCCAAAAGGTGACCTGTCCCTGGGGGGTGGCCTGTGCCTACACTCAGGGTGGTTTTGCCCTGGTGTGGGGTGCCCTGCTTGAGTGCTTGTCCCTTGGCAGGATGGCGTGAAGATGGAGGAGATCGTGGAGGGGTGCACGGGGGCACTGCACATCCTGGCCCGGGACCCTATGAACCGCATGGAGATCTTCCGTCTCAACACCATCCCTCTCTTCGTGCAGGTCAGGGGCTGGGGGACGTGGGGGCACAGCCCTGCTCTGCTGGGGCCAGCGGTGCCAGCTGGTGGCATCCGGGCGTGTCAGAACACATCAGCAGCACAACAGCTCCTCGCTGGCTGCTTCACGTCCCTGCTGGTCTCTCCTGACAGCTCCTCTACTCGCCGGTGGAGAACATCCAGCGCGTGGCGGCCGGCGTGCTGTGCGAGCTGGCCCAGGACAAGGAGGCGGCCGATGCCATCGATGCCGAGGGGGCCTCAGCTCCGCTGATGGAGCTGCTGCACTCCAGGAATGAGGGAACAGGTGAGTGCCACTGCGCTGGGCCCTGTGCTGAGGCCTCCGCACCGCCTGGCATTGCGGCCCCTGCAGCCAGCCTGGGGCCGTCAGTGCCGCACGGCCCCGGGGGCTGAGGCTGCTGCCCTGCCCCTGCAGCCACCTACGCGGCCGCCGTGCTCTTCCGGATCTCGGAGGACAAGAACCCCGACTACAGGAAACGTGTCTCCGTGGAGCTCACCAACTCCCTCTTCAAGCACGACCCGGCAGCCTGGGAGGCGGTGAGCATCCTTCTGGGCATGGAGATGAGTTCTTTTCACCAGGGAGACTTGGGCCCCATCCTGTCTGCAGAAGCTGCTGCTGTCTCCAGGCAGAGCTCAGACAGGAGTGACCAGCAAACCAGGGGAGGTGGGGGTGGGTGGGCTGTGGTCTTGGCTCTCTGGTAGCCCTGGGACCCTGGACAGGTCTTGGCACCCTGCAGCCCCTGAGCATTGTGCACATGTGAGCTTGAATCCTCTCGTCAATTGTGTCACTTTCTTCCCTAGGCTCAGAGCATGATCCCCATCAACGAGCCCTACTCAGATGGTGAGTACAGCACCAGCTCTTCTGCGGGGTCCCCCCATGGGCACTGCTCTGGTGAGGCAGAGGCCTCATCCCACCAAACCAGGCTGGTTTAAATCCTTTCTTGGGTGGCTGCAGCGAAGTGCCAGCCTGGCCTGCCGGGGGATGCTCAGTGGGTTGCTCAGCTCCCCAGGGAGCACAGGCAGCTGCTCCCTTGTCTGCTTGGGCCGGGTGGGTGGGTGGGTGGTCCTCGTGCACTGCCCTGGCTAGGGGGACCAGGAGGGTGGCTGAGGTCTGGAGAAGTCTCTGACTGGTGAGAGCTTAGGTTGCCATGTCATTTCCCTGCAGAGCTGGACCCCGGCTACCGCCCCATGTACTCTGGTGACATCCCCCTGGACCCCATGGACATGGATGGGGACTACCCCATGGACACCTACAGCGACGGCATCCGAGCGCCCTTCGCTGACCACATGCTGGCCTAACCCGCCCGCAGCCCCGCGCAGGTGAGCGGCCCGGGAACGGGGCTGGGGGGGCAGCTGGGGGGCAGGGCTGGCCAGGGGGTCCCTGCTGCTGCCCAGGGTCTGCATCCCCATCACCCCTTGGGCAGGGGAGGCCTGGGCTCCAGTCTCCTCCACTCCCTGGAGCAGTAACTGGAGCTCTCCCTGGCCACGTGCAGGTGTTTTCTCCGTACAGAAGAGGGTGGCCCCAGAGCTGAGTATTGTCAAGAAGGACTTGGGAGACAGAAGTGCCTGAGAAGACAAACTTCCATTCCCACAAAAGGTTTTATTCTTCAATTTATTTTCTTCACTGTGGGTCTGTGGAGAAGGTCCTTCCTCCTGGGACTGCTTCAAGCACCTACTGCCGTATCCAGCATCCAAGATACTGTTTCTGAAGCTTTAAAACACACAAACCCTGCACCGTTAGCGACCTTTCATTGGCAAAATAGTCTTTTCTATGAATATATATTACTTTTTTATTTTTAATATGGTGCCAATGGCTTTTGCCGTCTTTAAGTTTGTGCTTTCTAACTTCCCCACTATTTGTTCTGCGTGTTAGTGTTCTAGGAAAGGAATCTAACATGGGAAAACCCTTTGCTTTCTGCAAACTTGAACTTAATCAGGCCAATCCAGAGTCTGCTGAAACCAAAGGGTGTCGTGTCCCAGGACCTTTGGTTTAGCCATGGGAATGTCTGCGGTTTAACTCTTTCTGATCAGCCGCTGGGGAGCTGACTTTGTGTACTTGCTTGTCCTACCAGTACCCATAGAGGAGTGACTCCAGCATTAGGAACCGTGTCCTTGTACTGATCTCTGTTGCACATTTTAACCCATTTCCCTTCTTTTTGGTGAGTGGTGTGTTTCTGTCCCCTCCTCCCTTATCTAACACATTTTTTAAAGTGGCTCTAGAGCTGATGGTGGTTTAATGCTTCCATCAGAAAAGGGATGGGCAGTTACTGGATTGTGGTTCAGGAATGGAAGATTTTATTATTTCTGTAAGTTGTTTTTGTATAGACCAAAGCAAAGAATAAAATAACCCCCCCAGCCCCGTGCTGCCCTGAGCCTGTTCATCTGTTGGCTGGGGTGAAGGTGGCCGTGGCCCTCCTCGGGCCAAGTGTTGGTGCTTCCCTCCCATGGGGCAGGGTGGCCTCAGATGGGCTTGTTCCTGTGCTCTGCACCCACTGTGCCTGGCTGAGGGGGTGTCTGGGGGGGACAGCAGGCTGGGCCCTTCCCTGCACCTCTGAGATGATGGTTGGCAAGCCCAGCCACGGGCTCCTGGCCCTGCGGCACCGGCAGCTCCTGCCCATCCTGTGCCCCTCACCGTGCAGGGCTGTTAACGTGCTGGCTCTCTCCAGGCTTCTGTCTGCTCTGTCAGGAGGTAAAAACTGCCCGTTCTTATGATGTGTGTTCATTAGGCATCGTCACCACCATCTCTTTGCTTGCTTTAACGAGCTCTGGGAGATAAATGCAGTGGCTGAAAGCAAGCTCTGCTGATGGATGGATGGAGCCTGGATGGAGCTGTGAGAGGCCAGGTTAAAAAAAGTGATTTACTCAGTTAAACCAGGTTTGACTCCTTCCTCAGCCTGGCTTCATAGTGGGAACAGATGGCAGGAGGAAAAATTCTCCACTGAAACGGTAACTCTGACAGCTGAGCCCAGGGAGGGTGATGGGAAGTGGTGCTGGGCACCAGGAGGTGGAAACTCTCTGTTCACAAAGTTACCCACCAACTTCAGGGCTGCCCATCTGCTCCTCAGCCTCTTCAGCATGGAGATGAGGCCTGGGACAGCCACTGCTGGCAGCTGGTTGCTCCAGGCTTTCCCATGGCACCTCTTTGGGCAAGAAGGCACAGGCTGAGCCCAGGGGCAGGAGATGGCCTGCAGCAGTTCCATGCAGGGCAGGGGCTGGGCTGTGGGTTTTGCCCCACAGTCGATGTCAGGGAAGGCAACAGGCCCAGCCCATCTGCTACCAGCATGGGGACTTGGGGGGAACATGGTTAAAGGGAGCTGAGACCAAAGTTGCAGCCATTCCTGCGCACTTTCAGCATCAAACACCTCAGCTGTGCTGCGGAGGGGCAGGATGGAGCAAGGTGGGAGGTGGGTGGTCACCATGCACCAGCCCTGGCAGGACAAGGTTTGTGTGTCCATCATGGTGTGCCAGGGTCGGCCCTGAATGGTCCCAGTAGCAGCCTGGGCTGGGGCAGGAGTGAGCCAGGGTTGCTCCAGTGCTGTCCCTCCTGGGGACTGTCCTGCACTGAGCTCAGCCCCGTGGCCAGGCCCCGGTGTGTCAGGGACACAGCCACAGGGACACAGCCACGCTTCCTGCCAGGATCAGCAACGAGCAAAACAACAGCTGCTTTCCGGGCAGCCCTGGCAGGGCCGAGCGCCCT